AGCCCAGGCGGGTGCCCACCTTTTGCGGTCCCGGGCAAGCTCCCGGGAGCCGCCAGCCTGGTCCCGGGAAGAGGGGGAGGGCTGGGGGGGGCATCAGGTGGGTGGCTCGATCCGTGCCAGGTGCAGGGTCTGCTGGCTGGGTGCTGGAAGGCTTGCACCTGGCACAGGCACCGTAGCCAGCCCGTGCCCCTTTAAGGGGTCCGGGGCCAGGAGGGGGGCATAGAGTTTCCCTGGTGTTGGCCAGAGTGGCCACCAGGGAAACCTGGGGAGGGCTAGCCTCCCACTAGTTCGAATTAAGGGGCTACACACCCCTTAATTCGAACTAGCTAGTTCGAACTAGGCTTAATCCTCGTAAAATGAGGTTTTCCTAGTTCGAACTAAGCGCTCCGCTAGTTCGAATTAAATTCGAACTAGCGGAGCGCTAGTGTAGCGCCTATTAAAGTTAGTTCGAACTAACGTCCGTTAGTTCAAACTAACTTTGTAGTGTAGACATACCCTCAGATATTTCTAAAGCATTCATTACTGCATCAGCCATCGGAAGCATTAAATATGAAATGAAGAAGTACAGTATGTTCATAAAAGACACTATTTTTTATTCCTTACTTCCACAGCTCTCACTTGGAGATCTCTTTTGTCGCTTTCATGTTCGTTCATCAATTATAATAATCCTGGGTTATTCTTCAGTCTTCTTTTATTTGGGGAAGGGGTATGCAGTACTCTGGTGATCCAATGTGCTTAGTAAGGGTGAATATAATTTCCTAGCTAACTCCTTCAAATGTTTTCCTCTTAATAAGAACATAACATCCTTTCTACCAAAATCAAGCATGAGACATCTGTTTTCCATGCATAGGCTAACATCTCAGAGTCAGGGTAATAACTAGATGACAAACATTTTCATGGCACTGTAGTCTACATTGTCTTACAGCCTTCTCTAGAGTCTTCACACATAGTATGTATTGAAAAGAGCAGTCAATAGTATTCTGAAGAGCTTCCCATATCAGAGACTTTGGGAATGCATGACTGTTGCCCAGCATGATTTGCTGGGATCTTTCTGAAAAGAATGGTTAACGCCAGTTTGGTGCTGCACTGTCATCTTCTTTTGCTAGATCTTGTGTAGAAGACATCAACACCTTACAATGTAATGAATTAAGAGGTGGCTGCTAGAGCCAACAGGATAGGAATGTAATTTCTTTCCTTTCCATGGCCATCAAGAGGTGATTTATCAATGCCATCTCCATACCAGGACCTTTTCTTAAGGTTGAATGCGTAAGGTCTAGTATCCTGGCAGAGTTCAGATGTTGCTGGAATCCAATTTTCTTCACCTTTCTGATGGCTTTGCTACAGGAATGGAAGATTGAAGATTAACAATTTATTAACCGACAGCTGTCCTCTTAAGCTGCTGTTACTATTATCTTGTGCAAGGACCACCCATTTTAGATAGCTGGGCATGATCCGGTCCTCCCACCCTCTGGGGAAAGAATCTCCAAAGACTCTGTTACACCACATCGCTCTTGTTTTTTAAGTGTGCTCAATTTAATTCTCTGTTAGAATAATTAAATTAAACTCCCCACTGTTCTCTCTGCCCACATGTACCTCTTTGTAAAATGAAGATATTGATATTTACCTATATCACATGTCTGTTGTGAAGAGTCATTAATATTTATAACATGGTTTAAATGATCCAGACAAAAGGAGTTACCAGATGCAGAGTATTGTTTATTATACTATGCTCAAGGGCAAAACAACAGTCTCCATTCAAAGGACTGAGCTTTCTGAGTCTCTTGCATTCCACCACAAAGAAATGATAGAAAATAGATTTTCATGGTTGTAAACAGAAAGTGAGAAGCAGCAGAGTCAACTTCTTTAAACAACATTCTAGCCTTTTTTGAACCCTTGTGTGTCATCTTGGATAAAAGTGTAACTGAACTTCTTAAAAGGGCTCTCTCAATACCCTTTAGGCCCTGACTGGCCTTTTCAAACAAATACAATGTAGGTTTCATAAAGAACAAGCTGTACCATTTGCTTTAAATCAGAACATTACTCAATGCATTTTTGTAGCAACTCATCTTCTGTACTCAGTGAAATCATATGATGATTCATCTGAATACAAAAGTGTTCGTATTAATTGTATAATTTTGTATGAAACAGACCATAGGAGATTACATTAGTAACATAGCTTAGTAAATAGCTGGAACCAAAAAAAAAAAAAAGACGCACAAAAAAACAAAACCCCACCACCTCTACTCTGCAGATATTTGGTTATGATATGCAAACTTCACTTCAATACCATACAGTCATATATGTTGGAAAAAATGAATTCAAAATAAAGACGTGAACATCTGTGCCTTAATGAAAAAATACTAATATATACATAGGAATAGACTATTTTAAGTCATTCCACATAGAACCTTTGTATAGTTTAATTGTACTTGTTGAGGATGTGCAACAGCATACTAAAGGCACATGTAGACTGCGGAGATTTTCCAGGATACCTTCTGGTATCCCAGAAAAACTCTGCTGCCTCCAAGGAACGCCTTTGCTCTTCCGCTTTTTTTTGCAGAAGAGCAAACGTGCTCTTTCAGGGAGCCCTGTATACCTCATTCCACGAGGAATAAGGTCTCCTCCAAAGAGGGGGCTTTACTGTCATTTAGCCTCATCTAAATGGGGCCAAATGGCGGAAAAGCCTCTTCTGGTAAAGCAATTGGAAAAAGCTATGCAAATTACGCTTTGCAATTTGCGTAGATTTTTCTGAAAAAAGGCTATAGTGTAGACCTACCCTGAAGGTATCCTGAGATTAATGTCACCTACAGAAAATATGAAATTAGCAGCCAGTTGAAATGGTGGCTATCATAATGCATAAGATATTTTAAAAGCGAGCTTCACACAGATTTAATTAGTTTTATAAGTCAAAAAATTCTTATTCACAAAAATAATTGTTTGTCAAATGTGGTCAGAAATATAAACTTTAGCTAACCTCTAGTCTTTTATTACCAAATGACTGTTTGGTAATTCTTGGGATTCTCAGTGGAATTGGCCTTATAAAAGAAAACAATCTCTCATCAATTAGTAGCTGCTAGACTACGGACTAACTTGTACTTAGAAAAGGAACTATTACCTAAAATTGGTGAAATAGTTCCAAGAAATGTGGTATGTTATTGTCTTGAAAAAAATACACAGCAAAAATATTATGGAAAAGCCTACCAAACAAACTAGATGCAAAACAGATACATATTTTATTACCACTTCATTCTGTAGGTAGAATACATTGCATCACAAAAATCATTGCATTTGCCCCACTTCTTTCAATGTTAATAAATATAGCAGATTTGCTTTGGTTTGTTAATATGGATTTATGATACAATTTAGAGGCTGTATGACAGTGACAGTAGAATACAAAGCATACACCATGCACCAAATCAGCACACTAACAGCTAAACTTTGTGCTCATTTACATCCATGCAGCTCTACTGACTTGTACTCAATGGGGATAAGAAGAAAATGTTTTACAGCATGTTTAAATGCTTTTATGCTCAGAGCACGAAACTCAGTATTCTGATTAAAAATTCTAATTAAACGCCAACAAAATGTTTGAATTTGTTTCTTTATGTAGTCCCCTTACTAAAGAGACCTCTGTTTTAGTCTAAAAAGACCCTGTGCTGCAATCCAGACTACAATTCCCATGAGCCCTTGGAACAAAAGAGGTAGGGGGGACTCTTGTGAGAGAGAAGAGGCTCTCCCCATGTGCTTGAAGAAGAGGCCTAGCAGTCTGGGACTCTGCCTTGCAGTTTGGAACCAAACGGGGAGCCAGGCTGCTGCCAAGGACATTGACCCAGTGCAGGGGCTGTTGGAGTGCAGCTACTACATGCCTGTTGGAACTGGGAGTTAGCAGGCTGCTTCCTATAGGCACAGCATGAGGCAGTAAGTTTGGGCCTTGCTGGAAGAGGCTGCCTGGGACAGAGCTGCTGTTTAGCCTGGACCAAACCCTCACTACAGCTGCAACATCAGCGCGCCCACGCAAGCAAGTGTCTGGGACTGAGTCTAAGGGTGTGCACACTCTGCGGTGGGGTCACTGTTGTCTAGCTATATAAGCTTCAGTTATTGTTGTGTGTTTTGTTAATGCTATTCCTTGCTAATCTGTTAATCCCTGTTTAGTTAAGTAAAGATGGTCTATTTTAAAGTGTTCCATTAGATGTATATGATTTGTAGTTGTTCTGGAATTAGATCCAGCTTTATGTTGGAATGAGGATATTCCTGGAGGCTCTCAAGGCACCAGTGTGTGTACAAGGCCAGCCAGGTGGAGGCACCGCCACTTTACATTCATTGCCAGCAAGGGACTGCAGCAAGGGGGTGGATAGGGCTTTCCCCAGCTAAACACCATCACCACTGGGGTACTCAGGATCTCTTTTAGGTTAAAACACCAGGCGCCCAGGCACACCTGTGAGTGCTCCCCAGTAACCCGGGGAAGAAAAAGGGGGTTACATTTATATCAAAAACAAGGAAAAAAAGAGGAAAATACAAAGTAATGACAGGTCCTCAAAAGGATCCCATCACCAAAAATAACTGACTTTTCCCCATTTTAGACTTTCTAATTATTTGTAAACTTCAAAATAAACCTTTTGTGTGTTTACTTTTTCTCTCCATTTACTTTTTTATTTTCCTGCTATGTTCACTCATCTACTATCAAGAGAGGTTTTCTCACATCCATCCAGTATAGAAAAAGAGTTTAGTACAAGAATGTCATATTTACTTTGATATGCTGCCACTGTAAACCTTTCAACATTTTCAAAGGTAAGGTTTTAAGAGCAATTACTTCCATTAATATTACAGGTGCTTGCCAGAATTATTCAAATATGCCCATCTATAAGTCAAATAAAAAATACTTCTTGGACAGATATCAGAAATAGCCTTCTTGGGTGATAAGGGAAGAGACTAAACTATAGTCCTATAATAAACTATATTATTTCCACTATAGAGCACTTGCAAATTATCTAAAGCCATTTACAATTGTACTTACCTTTTACTCATTGTTATACTGCAATGAATATCTTTCTCAAAATCATATTAACTTTGGAGAAGTATGGAGATATCAAGGGGACTGATTATTCTTCTGTAATAGCACTCTATTATGGCCTTTTATTACATGATGACTATGATAATGCATACACACAAGGAAGTAGAGCAAAGTTGCTTGCAGAAACTTAATTTCAAAGGATTTTTCTCTCTTGTTGGTATAAATTACAGTCTTAAAGTTCCCCCCCCTACACCCTAAGTATTACATATGCTCAAGAGCACCAACAGGCACAAGTGCTTTATGGATGGCAAACCATGTTAACACCCTCAATTATATTTTCATTGATTGATATAATTTGACATATAGTTGCACCTATTGGCAGTTTATTTGGGCTCCAGACATGTAGTCACTTCTCAGGCAATACTACTAATTGCAATCAATGGGAGTACTCCTCTGATGAAGTGGGTTTTACCCACAAAAGCTCACGATATAATATAGTTGTTTGTCTCTAAGGTGTCATTGTTTTTAATCAGTGGGAGATCAGTGTGAATAAACATGGTACCTTCAGATCCCTGATTGCAGTGAAAAGAATCTTAGGTTTAAAGCTACTGTAATATGTGTCACCCTTCATTGCACTACTCTACTCTTAAAGCATATCAGGCACTTATCTCTCTCTCTCTATGCATATAATTTTTTTTCCTTTGGGACATTTAGGGTACATCTAAACTACATGCCTCCGTCAACGGAGGCATGTAGATTAGTGTATTCGAAAAAGGGAAATGAAGCCGCGATTAAAATAATCGCGGCTTCATTTAAATTTAAATGGCTGGCCCGCCCTGCCGACAAACAGCTGATCAGCTGTTTGTCAGCTGATCGGGGCAGTCTGGACGCGCCGCGTTCACAAGGAAGCCTTTCTTGATCGGCGCAGGTAAACCTGGTTTCATGAGGCATACCTGCGCCGATCAAAAAAGGCTTCCTTGTGACCACGGTGCGTCCAGACTGCCCCGATCAGCCGACAAACAGCTGATCAGCTGTTTGTTGGCAGAGCGGGGCAGCCATTTAAATTTCA